AATGATAGATCAAAAGTCGTTAACATAATTATCACACCGTTTAAAATTGTTGATTCAGTTCAACCAAGGGATCAGTTACAACTTCCACATACACTTTTTTTTCCAAAGCTAATCTTGCGTTCCCGAATTTTCAGCTTATGGTTGCAGCTGGGATGGGTCCAATAATGGCACTGAAGTACTTCAGATATACATACAGATCAAGCAAAATTAATATACTGCAGCAGGCCGAGCGTTTGGGAGGGCCAATTTTGTCATTGGGGCACATAGAGCCATCATCAAGAACCTCCATAGAGAAAGATTTGTCTCCTCTATCAATTTCTCAATCCAAAAACAGAAGCCCGGTACACGAACCCCTCCTCTCGGACTCTCCAAGTGCTACAAGACGCTCTTTCGGGCAAGCTGCTGCTGCGCCATTTGATTTCTTTCCATCACAGTCCCGTTTATCATCAAATTATACCAGAAACTCCAAGGATAAGTGAGTTATGAATTTATGACAGATTTTTTTCCCTTCCTGTTTTGAAATTTATTCTTCATTGCCATGCAACGTATATGGGATTATGGGTTATTGAATAAAAAGATGTTGGGTCTTTTCTTGGACTATCTACAACCTCATATGTTTTCTATTCATTTGGAGGCTAACTTTTTAGTGATATTCATTCACTTACATTGTAGTACTCCAGGTATTCGTTTATATTTTTTCCAACATAATGACGTACAAAGAGCTAATGTCACTGCCTCTGTTGGGTTTCTCCAAGAATCTTGTGGATGAGTTTCCTACCACTCAAGTCAAGAGAAGTTCTTTTGCAAGCTAACTTTGATCTAATTACTACTTCCTCTGTCTCACAAAAGTGTTTTCCTTTCTTTTTTCATTCATCTCAAAAAATATTTCTCATTTCTCTTAAAAAGTCTCTTTTCTCCCTAATAATTCTTCGGCTAGGTTCTAGAGCCACTCAAAAAGAGTGGCTATGGAAGCCACTCACCCAATTGGGACACCTACGGTGCTCCGTTTGCAAAATTAATAGTTCCTATCCCTCTTTAACCCCCCAGTAAATCCCCCCACCCGGTCCCAATCCCAACTCATCCCCTAACCATGTCAATTGCGGGGTTCAAGTTTAGTTGACTTTGGAGTCAAAATTTTTGACTTTAAAGTCAATTATACTTACGAGGTGCAATTGACGTAGGTGGGAGGATGATTTGTGGTCGGGACTTGGCGGGGGGGTAGAAATCATCAATTTTATGAATGGAGCTCCATAGGGGGGCAGTGGCTTCCGTCGCCATTGAAACCCAGTGACCACCGAACCAGGCCGTTCATTCTTAACATATTTATCACATCACATTTTTTCACAATTAATTTACCCTTTGCATCCTAGTCTTACCCATCACAATTCACATCCATGGGTACTTTTGGAAAGCCAACATTAAAATACACTCTCTTTAAATCTTTTAAAAGTAAAAAAATAGAAATGTTCTATGGGACGGAAAGACTATCTTCTAATTTTTTTCTCTTTTATTTACATTTTATTTCTGCTCATCCCAATGTGAATTTCACCCTTTTCTCATTTTTATAGATAGGATCATAGGAATATGTGGCTTATAAATGTTATTCTCTCTGTCTCAAAGTATTTGCATATTTTTTATTTTTTATAGACAATCAAGATTGATTTTTTGACTTATAATTAAATAAGAATTACATGGTATATTAAATAAATAAAAACACATTTTGAAAAATATTTACGAGATGAAACAAATAAAATTATTATTGTATCATAATATATTTTTTTAACTAAGGATTAAAATTTATCAATTTTGATCAGAAAAAGTCAAAACATGATAAATAGTATATTGAATTTAAAAAAATTCTACGGGAACATTTTCACCTTGTTTACAACTTTTTTCTAGATTTTGTGAAATTAAAGTGAAAAAATCGTTTTGGAAAAGAAAAGTGGTACGGAGTATGTTGTATGAACATGCTTGAGATCCTACACAAGGAAATTATGTTTTAACTTATCACACCAAGATTTAATTCCTTATCAGTGAGAAAAACACAAAAGTGTTTCTGATCAGTGCTTGTCAGAAAAATTTAACGCTTAATGGTACAGGCTCTGCCATTAAGCCATCTGTTTTTCATTTATACTACGTATCATACTTGGTTGCCGAAAGCATTTTTGTGGGAAGGACACTTGTACTTTTTATTCACATAACAAGTTAATCTCCACACCTAACACAACTAATTCATCTACCTAATAAAATTAATCTCTCTACCTAACACAATTAATCAATCCACCGAACATAATAAATCACACTACCTAACACAATAAATTTCTCCATCTAACATAATAAATCTCTCCACCTAACATAATAAATTATTCCACCTAACCTAAAATATCCTGACCCATCGACTATATATTTGGGCTTAACTATCACAATGTCACCACCAAATATCCTTCAAATACACTCTTTCTACTCACTCATTACTCCTTACATTTCCAAAAATGGCCTTTGATCATAGCTTTATCATTGGAATGGTGAATTCGGATTCGAGAACAATGAGATTTGAGTACTCATTGCATTCAAACAAAGCATTTGTCTTTGATCTTGATGTGTCATTCGAGGAAATCTTCAATGAACTCCTCGATGTTGTTAGTGAAGATAATCTAAATTCAATCAAGAATATTTGGGAAAAATATCCCAAATACAAGGATGGAGTGTATGCTGCATCACATCCTTTTCCAATTCCCGAAGAACGAACATGGAGGTGTTTCGTTCAAAACCAAGTAATACGGTGAACTTGAGGTTTACCTAGAGGCACTCCAAATCAGAGGCCAGGTTCCCGGTGAAGAAGAAATAGTTGCATCACAAGAGGAGGAAATGGAGGAAGAACAACACGACCACCACCAAGAACAACAACAATTGGGGGGCATCATTTTTCATGGACACGCCACAAGACATGGGTGACGAAAGCGACCCCGACGATCCAACGTACATTGGTAATTCTAAGGATGAGAGTTCTTCCGATGAGTCTAAAGTATCTTGGTGGGTCTCTATGTACACCCCGGACGTGTACGTAGAGGAGCCTACTAACGATGACGCAGTGCGGTTTTAGGACTTTCCGATCCACAGGCCCGTTGAACAAGTCTCTCTACAGCCGACGTTCTGTATCCTTGAAACTGAGATTGGCTATAGGTACGCTGCGGTGTCCCTTTGCAATATTGCAGACCATAGACACTTTCGCACTTCTTCAAAGCGTCAAAATTATTGGCTAGCAAAGTGTTCATATCTGGAGTTGTGCCCATGGCTCATCGAGGCTGCAGAGGTTGCTTCTGTTTGGACTGTTAAATAATACAAAAGTCAACATTTATGTAGACCAGACTACTCCAAAGAGAAGAATGATATCCTTATTACAAGCGAACTTATTTCTAAAATTATATTCTCTAAAATTGCCGCTGATGCTGATTACAAGGTGAGGTACATTATTAAAGATATACACGACTTATTTCAAGTATCTATAACGTACAAGAAATGTTGGTTGGCTAAGTTGAATGCAATCCAACGGTTGTACGGAACATGGGAGGATTCGTATAACAAAGTTTTACCTCTACTAGGGGCATTGGTTCATAGTAATCTCGTGTCAGTGGCCGAGATACAAATACGGCCAACAACATCACCTAAAACGTTTGAGTTCATGTATATTTTCCGATCTTTCAAGGCATCCATTGACGGGTTCAACTACTATTTTCCCGTGGTCTCTATTGTTGGCACCCACTTATACGGAAAATATAAAGGAGTCTTGTTACTTGCAGTAGCAATGACGACAAATCACGAGATTTACCCGTTAGCTTATTCCCTTATTGACAAAGAAGACGAGTTGGAGTTGGTTCATGATGCATTTAATGCGTCATGTAGTACTGTTTGTATGCTAGTGTACATCATTTCTGACAAGCACGGGGAAATTGACGTAGCTTTCAATTCAATCACCCAGTTAAAGGAAGAACGTGTCACTCGGAGATATAAAATGAATAACATAGTATTAGTGTTCAAAATTTAAAATGTAATACTACGTATATCTAAGGAGTGAAAGTATAAAATATAGGAATTACAGTATAATAGAGGCTCTGCTCTTAATAAAAAAAGATAACGGTATAGGGCGTGGTTGTGCCACTACCATGCCTGCCACATAAGCCAGATTTGTAATTTGCCATGCGAGGCTGAATTGATTTGCCATGCTTGGCAAGTCAAGGGCGAGGCAAATGTACTCTGTTTTATTATTTTTTTTCTCCATAAAATAAAATATTTTTAAAAAGTAGAAGTATTTTTTTGGAAAATAATATAAGTAAATTAATTTCTAATACTCTGTAGTAAAAATAAGAAATATGTAAAAAAATTGTAAAATTTAAAAAAAACCTAATTTATTTATTTTTTGTTTTTTTAAAATAAGAAATATTTTTTTAAAAAAAGTAAAGTTTATAAAAATATAAAAAAAATAAATTTAAATAATTTTGAAATATTTTTATTTTTTTATTTGAAAAAAATATAAACAAAATAAATTTAAATAATTAAAATATGTAAAAAAAATAAAATTGATAAAAACAATGGCTTGCCACTGCATGACATGCCACTCCACTCTCGTGTCACACGTTGACTGGATTATTTTTTATTGGTTGAAACTTTTCATGTCAACGTGTGTCATTTTATTTTTTACTTGCCATTGTGAATGCACTTATGACTTAAGTCCACCACTCTCTCACCATACCATTTGGGGATGGATTTTCAAAAATTCTCACTCATCCGGAAAGGAAAATGCTAGGGGAGTAGGGGTACACTAAAAGTGTATACCAAATATCCCCACCCTCTCCATAATCATATAAAAAGACAAGTAAAATTCAAAAAAAATAAAAACTAAAAACAAAATAAAATGAATGGTAAAGAGTGGGATGATGTAGGGGTAAGCCTACGCCTACCATCTAACCATCTAGGAAATCACCCGTTAGTGCAAATTTCCGCACCGGCATTTCATCTTCTCCCATCCGGCGATTCTTCTTCCCCGCTGCAACTCCGGCTATAGGTATGATTTTGTTTGTTCTTTTTTTTCAATTGTTAGAAATCTGCTTGAGTTCACCCAGCTCCACTGCCGGCGGGTTTTTTGCAATTCCGGCCATTGAAGACGGTTCTCCTTATATAAAATTCAATCTTGATTCAATCATGTCAGTTTCTGAAACCATTTACATTTTCTAAATCTCTCTAACTTATCTATCTGAACAAATTCTAGTATAGTCCAAAATTGTTTCAACTTAGTCTTCATAAAAGTTACCCAATTTAAGGGTGAAGTCTATTTTCTCATTTAATGACTTTATTTCAAACTGGTCATAAGTCAAAATGTATAAACCTGAATTCTTCATAAAATATATTGTTGGATTGATTTGTATCTTCGAGACTGATCCAACAAAATTAATTCTAACAACAAATCCCTACATTGAAAATCCCTTCATTTTTGGTCAACGACAGAAATAATAATTTATTTTTCCATCATTTCTAATGGAGCCAAAGATTCACCCTTTTTTGGCTTTGGGGTATGCTGGAGTAAAGCAAAATGGCTCTTTAAATTGCATACGCTTATGTTAACAAACAATTAGTCAATGCAACTTTCGACACTCATCATGGGTCTGGAAACAACCGCTCTATGTTTTAAACAACTAGGGGTCTTTTTGGAAACCAATTCTTTACTTTCAAGTAGAGGTAAGGTTTGCTTACGCACCCTTCCCAGACCCTACTCTTGTGAGATTCAATAGAGTTGTTAATAGAAGTAATGATTTATTGGGCCAAAATATGATTTCAAAAATACCCTTATAATATACGGAGTACTCCGTAATAAACTTTTAGGGTATGTTTCAGGGCGTTACAATTACGTTTTTGTCCCTCATATTATTAGTTGTCAAGAGCTAAGGTGCAATTCCATGTTACTTAGGTTATCAAACCCGAATGAGAAACAGAGAGTAGAATGAGTCGGCTTGCCAATATTGAAAAACATGTTCTTGGTCAAATTCAGAAGCTAGAATATGATAAAGCACTGCTGTTTATCGAGGCATGCTTGGAGCGGTGTACTGGTTATTCGAGAGAAAAAGACGAAGAGCGGTGTACTCTCTACGAGCTGCGTGCAATGGTCTACAATAATAAAGAAGAGAGTGAAGGTATATTAGTAGTTATTTCTGCGTGTAATAGTTACCAAGTCTCGAGTTGTGGAGTATGCTATAAGTGAGTAAGATTAATTGCTGTTGTGTTTCTTAGGGTTTGATCTCATTCTCTTTACATATTCCCTACAAATTGTACCTTAGAATTTAACTATGATCATGCTTGGAATATTGTATCTTCACTTCTCAATACCTCATTCATATTTGCTTCTTTTTTTTGTCTTGTTTTTTCCATGCTTCACACCAGCTGCCCTTGGGGAGGCTTGGTTAGCTTTTAAGATTCACAGAAAATACCGGAGCTTCTTCAAGTATTCAGAAGTCGCGAACATTATTGGGTAATGACATCTTTGTTAACGAAATATCAGTTTTAAACGTGCCATCGGGTTTTCCTTTTTTGATTTAAAATGCCCTGTTTTTGGTCTTTTTGTTGTATAGGGAGTATATCTTGGGGCAAGAAGAATTTGGCCGTGCCATCTGTTTCTTTGAAGATGCAGTCAAGCATGCTAGCAAGGATAACTGGAAACAAAAGTTCAATAGCCACTTGTGTGTGCTATATGAAGCTCGGAAGGAATACACGAAATCCAAATGCAAAAGTGCGAAAAAGAAGGCTGGTCCAATACAAGATACAGGTGAATCTTCCAAAAACACCAATACCAGGTCGATTGTTGCCCCTTTGCCTTTCATAGTCTCTCTTTACTTCTCTGTTTTGTCCATTTTTGGTCGATTTTCTTTGTTTTTGGCGTGAAGATGTTGAAGCTTGGTTGCGAGTTAGCGTGTAACATAATCTCATTAGCATATTTGAAGCTAGTGATGTTCTTAGAGCGTTTTGTGCACATTCATCTATATATCGTGGCGCTATTTTTTGAACTTTGTTTTGTTTATATTTCTGCAGAAGTCAAAAAATTGAAGCCAAGGCTGAAGTTTCTTCTGGATAGTATGCAGAGGTTTTGCTTCTTGGTCTTAAAATCCTTGTGTTTATCATTGATATATGTTTTATTAGATATTGATACAAAAATAGTTTTATTAGATTTATTATATCAAATATTTTTAAAATATTATTTTATCAAATTAATATACAATATACTCCGTAGTATATTTTATTAAATTATAGGTCAAAGGTTGAAAACAGTTGATCGAAAAAGTCAAAATTAGACAAATACTAAAGGACCGAGGTAGTAGCTCTCATTTAGGGTAATTAAGCTCGAAATTCCTATTTTGGGCATTTAAATCTCAAATTACTCCTAGTTGTGTCCTTTTCCCAAATATTAATCTATGCGAAGGGTATTTTGGACAACTAACTTGTGACTTGGTAGTTATGTATATTCTTTTAAAGTTTGGTAAAAAGCACTGGGACAACTTAGATTGTTTATGAAATCTATGAATTTCAATTACTTAAAACAATAAAGAATAGGAGTTATTGTGTATATCGAGACACGTATCACCAAGATCTATAAAAATGAGAGGTTCAATTGACCTAGGAGTAGTTCAAGATTCTATATATGTATAAGGTACACGCTTGTAAAAAATCAGGTGCTTCAGTTTTTAGCACAATAACACTAAAATTCTATTGGTAAATTTTACTTTCACATCCGGAGTGTATATGGTACATCCGGATGTACCTAGAAATAGGTACATCCATGTAGTACACATTCCGAAGTACACTAGTACTCATTCTCGCACAAGCATAATACTCCCTCCGTCCCAGAGTATTTGTCCAGTTTCAAACAAGATCACACATGACTATATTTAGGCTTACACATTGAGAGAATTTGATGAGTCAAAGTGCTTAGATGAACAGTTTTAAAAGTCAAAATTGGACGAATACTCCGGGACGGAGGAAGTAGTTCATTTGAAAAATGTGGTACACATTTTGAAATAACGCAGTACTCATTCAGAAATAATGTCGCACTCATTTTTACAAATTTGTTGAATATTCATTTACGAATAACATAGTGTTCATTCTAAAACCCACTAGTACTCGTTTGCATGTAAACTAATACTCAAACTTAAATTACCTACCGTTCATGTACCATTACCATTCATATGTAGTTTGAAATCTGGTAGGAAGCCAAGACCATCCCGAAGCAGAATCCCATCGTTCATATCAAGCAACTTTCAAATCGCGAATTAGACTTTCAACCTTTATTGTCCTCCGCCGATCGGACTTCCAAACATCACCGGACCTTCATCCGCAAATCAACGATCGGGAATCCAACCATCGCGCAACTTCCTTCATGGCAGATCGATTCGCCCGTTCTTGCCCCAGTTCCTCCGTTCGCCCTAATTAATGGCCGGATGTACGGTATAATTTGCGCTCTCTGTCCCATTTTAAATCACCCGTTTTGAAAGCGCCAGTACCCCCGTTGTTTGCAAAATAGGCACCAAAACTCCCTCTATTTTCAAAAATTATTTGTAAAGTCCTTGGTGCATATTTACTAAACCATAGGGGTATCGGTGTTGATATTTATTTTTCCCTTATTTTTTGTTTTTTCCATTTTTTCCTTTATTTGTTTCTTTTATTAATAAAGGTTTTTTTAAAATTATTTTTATAATGTTCATAAAATTTAAAGTTATTTTTGTTTGAAAAAATTAACATATAATGTATATGTACTTCTCAAATCAACAATTTTTGTTTTTCTGAAAAAAGTAAACTTTTTTTTTTGAGAATTTCAAAAAAATGAGGAATAAAATAAGAAAAAAAATAGTACAAAAATAAAAATGAGTATCTTTTTTGAACATCTCAATTCTAAGGACTTTTTTAGTCTTGTCCATTTTTTTGTATCAGACTTTTTTTTGTGTATTTTTAATTTTCATTTTATTTTTCCATATTTTTTTTTTATTCTAGGTTTTTCTTTTTGAACTTTCCAAATAAGTACGCAACAAAAAGTAAAAATGTTTAATTTCAAATAGATGCAATGTATGTTAGTTTTCTTTATATTTATTTTTATTTCAAACACAAAAAATTTTAAAAATTTTAAAACATTATAAAAAATTGAAAATAAATTAGAAAAAGTCTAGGAAAAGGAAAAAGAGAGAAAATATTTAAAAAAAAGGAAAACACAAATAATAAACGAAAAATAAAAATGAGCACGAATGCCCACTATGGTTTAAAAATTATGCGCAAATGCCTCATTTTCGCCGAAAAATGATCAGAGGAGGCACGGGTGCAACATTTTGAAACCAAGGGGACTTTAGAAGTAAGTTTTAAAAATAGAAGAGGTATTGGTGCCAATTTTCCGAACCACAAGGGGCACCGGAGAATATTTGGCCATCTATAAAAATGAGAGGTTCAATTGACCTAGGAGTAGTTCAAGATTCTATATATGTATAATGCACACACGCTTGTAAAAAATCAGGTGCTTCAGTTTTTAGCACAATAACACTAAAATTCTAATGGTAATTTAAGATGAAGAAGAGTGACTTATTTTAGAGGTAGTTTAACTATTTTACTCTTAAAAGTTTACGATAACAAGAAACATGCAACTTATTTTGGAACAGAGAAAAAAAGAAAACATACAATTTAAAATGGGACAGAAAGAGTTTTTTTTAGATTATTAAATAAAAATGATATTAAATTTTGATACAAAAAGAGTTTTTTTTAGATTTATTATATCAAATATTTTTAAAATATAATTTTATTTGATTAAAATACAATATATATTTTATTTAATTATAGGTCAAATGTTGAAAACAGTTGACCGAAAAAATCAAAACAGAACAAATACTCAGGGACGGAGATAATATTTTATTATGGTTTGTACTTCTCAAATACACATGACAACATAAATTATTTGGCCATTTGAAGAAAAAAAGTCTAATGTGATCCATGAAAAACATCTGTAAAGATTCAAATTTTATCTACACAATTCCTGTATTTTTACTATTTTTGCCTCACTATATTGGCCTATTTTAGGAAAACGCCACGTTTCAAAACAAAGCAACACGTGTAAGCCATAATCTTGGGGGGAAATGCCACGCATAGCTACATTTCTATTTTCTTCCACTCCCTATAAAATCCCATGCACCATCAACCCGGCCTTCTACTTACGCAAAGAACACTTCACAATTGTTAGACCGGAATATAAAATTAAAAGGACAAAGTAGAATTTAGAAATAAACGCCGACCGATCGGATATATATGTCGAAGAACAAGCGGGACATAAAGTACGCCACCGCGCAGGCAAGGCTGTCGGAGGACGATGCCGTTCGAGTCGGCTACATAGGCGGCCAGCCGCTCGAAGGCGGCAAGATCGCCGACTCGCAGCCCGTGGAGCTCTTCTCCAGTGCTCACAACGTCGAGAAACAGTGCCGCCGAGAATCCGGCGAGGATGGACGCCGTCCGGAAGCTTTGCCGTCGTCGGATAATAAGGGGGGCCATCAGGCTGATGACGATCAAGAACGTAACGGCGGCCACAAGATCAGTTGATATAATCGTTGAGAATATATATATTAACTCGGTGTACCGGAAGTGATGAGATAGATTGTATCTGCTTTTAATTTGGGGTTTTACGGTCTAGTTTCACTTTTCATAATCAAATAAGATGATATTGAATCATCAATTAAAAGAAAAATTAAAATACTTGTACTCCGTATTACATATAATAGATTAATACAAAATGATTTTATTAAATTTGCTTTGTATGCAAATAATTTTATATATATATCTATATATATATATATATATATATATATATATATATATATATATATATATATATATATATATATATATATATATAGACTCCAGTGAGATGACATCCTACGGTCAGATGACGCAAAGCTCACCATTGCCAACTACAAAGCTCACCAAGGACAACTACATAGCTCACCAAATTGTAAGGCAAAGCTCACCACATTTTTCAACACTTTGAATTTTTTTTTGAAAAAATAAAATCAAAGAAAGAGGTGCTGACTGGATTTTGACTGTTGACCGAGACCTTTGAAAGCCACCTGCCTCTGCCGGACAATGCCGGTCGCCGGAATCTGCCACCGCCGCCGGTCACCGGTCGCCGGAATCTGCCGCCACCGCCGGTCGCCGGAATCTGCCTACGCCACCGCCGCCGCTGACCGGTGGTTGACCGGTGTTGCTATTTTATTTTTTATTAATTTTAAATATTTAAAATTTTAAAAAAGGTGAGTTTTGATTTTCAAAGTGGTGAGCTTTACTTTATTTCTAGGTGAGCTTTGCATTGTCCATTGGTGAGCTTTGTAGTGTAGTGTGGTGAGCTTTGCGTCATCTCACCGAAGCATGTCATCTCACCATAATGTGTCATCTCACTGGAGTCAATCTCTCACAAACACACACACATATATATATACCCCCTCCGTCCACAAATTAACTTCTTGTTGCGTTATGATGTTTGATTGAAGTTATTTTCAAATCTTTTTATATGAAAAACGGTGTAAAACTTAAAAATAAAAATTACATATTAAAAAACTATATCAAAAGATTTACAAAACTAGATGTGTCATGACTATATTATTTTATCAAATGTGTGACGAAAATAGGCTAACAAAGTAAATAAAATTTGACCGTGTGAATAGTGAATGAGAAGTTTATTTGTGCACAAAGAGAATATGTGTGTGTGTATTTATATTTATATTTATATTTTGTTAGGATTATTAGTTTCTAGAATAATTTTCATTTCTATATATTCTATCAATTAAATACCTGTTGAGAGCATGATCGTTGAACTCGTTACAATCTATTCTTGGATACGGAGTAGTTGAACTCGTTACAATCTATTCTTGGATACGGAGTAATATATTGTTAAATTGGTAATAGGGGCATAGTTAAGATTGGTTGTTTATGAATTGTATATATTGAGAATTATGAATTTTGATGATAAAATAGGTCGCATAATAAATCTAGATAGATTTGAGTTGAATTGAATATTTAAATCACCAATAAGAGTGAGAATTAGAAATTAGGGTTATGTGGGTGTTGTCGCACACTTGATGCTCTCAATAGTAAAAATGTATGTACGGATGTTAGTACCTCTGGTGAGACAGAGTAGGGGTTCAACCTTCTCCATTGAAGATTTTTTGGAGTTTGAACGTGGCTTTTAGTGGCTGTACGTGCAAAATAGCAGGCTTGAGCTTGAGATTTTAGGGTACGGGCCAGACTTGGGCTTTATAAATGACGGCCCGAACATTTCAAGACCGAGCCCGATTTTATGCTCCGGCCCATGAGTCGGCCTGAACGAATTAAAATATTTATTACTACTATAAATATAATAAAATAATAATGACAACATTAATATTAATGATAATAAAAAGAATAATACTATTTCAACTTATTATACACACACATACATATTTCTATAAAGAAAAAATGAATTATGAGTATATTTAATAAAATGAATACATTTTTATTACTCCATATTGTTTACTACCTACCACACATTGATAATAGTATTTTCAATAAATAATAATACATCATACTTCATAAGTTGTAGCAATATTATATGAAACACATAACTTCAAAAAAAATATGAAACACATTTTATACATTAGTTGCTCTTTTATTTACTCATTATAATTATTATATCAAATATCTAATGCATTAACACATTACTCTATTTAAAAAAATTATTTCTTTAATTATATAGAAATTTTTGTTGTACAGACCGGACAACCTCAAAGCCCGCGGGTATCCATGCGTGCTGGACTCGAGCTTCCACTCTTAGGCCCGCTATACTGGTTCAGCCGGACTCGAAATTAGAAAATTGTCTTAATTTAGCCTCTCGTCCCGACGAGCACTTTGAAATTGAAGAGGTCTAATGACATGTACAAAAAAACCAGTCTTATTTTTGACAAAAAAGAAATGGAGTAGTTCAATGATCACTGCACTAGATACTTTTTCCTTTATCTGTCATTGCCCAGGTGAGACATGAGCAATGCTTCTCTTCCCTTCTTTTTCTTTGCACCTTGCTGATCCAGCCGGATTCCCGCCGGGGTCCAACGCAACCGGTGACCGGAATGCTCTCATCACCTCTTCGCTGGTCATACGCAAGCGACATCACCTGAAATCCAGGCCGTGTTTGACCAGGACGGGAGCTATGAAGGGCTGGCAAGAATATGACCAAGCCGTGAAGGATAAAGACCTCACCAGAGCTCTCCGATTCCTCAAGGAGATCCCTGTCCAGCCAAAGGAGGAAACTTGGATGGACCCGAATGGGTACCCTAGTGAATTGGATTGGGCACGGGCCGCTCGGCAAGAGCGCAATTGGGGGGTTTTGGATACCTGCTTGAATGCGGATGATATGAGGCTTGTTGCGAATGCCTATGGTTTTCTCAAGGACAGGGATCTCTTGCCCAATTTCGGGAAATGCAGTAGCATAGGTAATCTTCTTCATTTATAGTTTTTTTTTTTTTTAAAATTCTTGTGTACTTGTTTTGGGGAGATCTTGGGAGCTCGATTTACCCTAGGCCTAACACTCAAGACCGATAATTTTACATGCCGGAACCAATTGACAATAGGAGAAGCACAAATTCTATCCTACAATGGCAGGAATGTGAAGACTTTAAATTAGTGATTCGATTAGTTTGTGATTATCGAGCATTTAAGTTTTCTTTGGCGTGCAAAATTGTGCATATAATGATCAGTCATCTGTGTTTCACATCTTTATTTTAGTGAACAATTTGTTTCTTACTAATGGGCATATAAGTTTCTATTGACGAATGGTTGTACCGTTGTACGATACTCATCTGCATACAGTTGTGGCATAGAGTAACTCTAAGATGTGTTGCCTACTGATCTTATACTACATACGTTAGTTCTTACTTATTCTTGTGATGTGGGATACCAGCTTCATGGGTGATAGCTCTGGCATCATAGGAGACCATTCAATTTATTCATTTCCTGCTTTGTAGTTTGTACTTGTTTTTAATCATTTCACACCACATTATTAACCCGGATCACATTCAAACAAGAGTCTCAATCAATGTTATTCACAATTTGTTTGGACACTTTTTGTTCCGACCGTAATGAATGGATATTACAAAGATGAGCATTTACTTCAAAGGTAACCGGCATTACAGAGAGGTACTTAAGGCAGTTGTGATGATCATGCTCTCCTTGTCTGCTGTGATATAAGACAAGTTCTTTACCTTATTCATTTTTCTTTTGGCCAAACACATTTTGTAAATTCTCGGAGTTCTATGTCATTGAGGTGAATTGCTTCAATGCTCATGGAGTCGAGATAGAAGACTTGGTAGCTGTGTTTGTGGGACAAGGCATTTGATGGGTTTCTTAGGTATCCAGTTCAGTTGCTACTAGTTCCAATGTTTGAGAAACAAATTTGTGTACCATGACCCATGTATGACAACATTTGTTGGGGAAGAACATCATCATCCAATTGTTACATAGCATTCTATTGTTTTCTTCAAAATTTTCACTAAAGTTGTCTGTCTCTACCGTTTGCCCATTTTACTATTGTACGCAACTAAGAGAAATTTCCAATCCATGCAGTTTTAGAAGGCACAAGAGATGTAACCCCTACATTACTGAAGTCTTTGACTGGCTTAGATGGTCAGTACATACATGTATATATTACTCTGTTTCATTTTAATTAGGAGATTTACTTTTATTTTTAACGTTCTCAAATTCATGCTCTAGTATTTTGAATGTAAAAATGCTCTAATCACCTGACAATAAAAAAATGTAAGTTGAATAAAGTGTTTTGGGCCTGATATGCTATCTACTAAGCCACATTCTACAATCTACACTAAACTGAATATCAAATCTTCACATTGATATAACTCATCAGTCATAAACAAATGGTAGAAGTGTTTCGAGAATCCCAACTGCATGATATGAATTGTTTAGTTGCGAATATTCAGAAGCTAGAGCTACACACTTTCATGTTGTCTTTGCCTACTTTTAAAATAAAATGGCCAGTTTAGGTAAATTTATGTTCAATTCTTCTTGTTTCAGTGAGAAAAATTTCACCCAAAAAGTGGGGTCTTTCAGGAAGCTCTAGCTTTATTTTGATTGCATTGCTTGGTGGAATCTCTTTTCTGGTAAATCAGGGAATAGATATCAGACCTAACATTGCCACAGTACTGGCCCTGACAATGCTCGATGCTAAATTTCTTGGAGGCTCTTTTTTAGCCCAGATCTCAAGCTTTTGGCCTCCTTATAGGCGCCGAATTTTAGTTCATGAAGCTGGACATCTTCTTGTGGGTAATCCCCTTTTCATTTTCTTATGTCCATACTCGATCTTTTTATTCTTTTATGTCATTAATGTGTTCTTGAGATATCCACATAATGTGCAATTTTATCTGGTATTTGTATTCATCCAGATAAAATTTTTCTATCAAATTTGTCTTCATCACCTTGCAAGCTCTATCAATTTTTTCTGTTTATTTTTTTGATTTTAAGTGGAAGTATGGAACTATACTTGCTCTCTAGAGTCATAGGATTACACAATCACCAATGCATTCTAATATGATCTTGTAGCTTACCTCATGGGTTGTCCAATTCGTGGTGTTATTCTAGACCCCATTGTGGCTTTGCAGATGGGAATCCAAGGGCAGGTATATCTTATCTTGCTTTGAATTTTCCATATTATTTTATATTCCCTTTGTCCCAAAACACCACTCATTTCCTTTCCGGGGCGTCCCGAAAAAAGACTCTTCTTTCCAGTTTTGGAAAATTCTCTATGGCTCAAAGTCGTTCTCTATTCTATCTACATCACTTCCAACCACACAATTTTACTTTTCTTAAAATTTGTGCCAAACCAAATCAGGATCCATTTTTTTGGGACAGAGGGAGTAGTATTATGCACATTGATGCATGTTGTAATATTAAAGTAGCTACATTTTATCTGAGTTAGATAAACATTTGGTTATTTATTATTAAAAACTTTCTTTATCTGGACTAAGGTGTCCACTTGCTTTTGAGATGTCCGTAATTAATTGTCCACTTGCCTTATTTCAGTATTTAGTAAACAAATTATTGAGAATTATCAAAAACACCCCATCCAAAGAGCGTATAACTAATATGAGCATGTTGCAGTAAATGAAGAATGTGTTAATACTTATATAAGAGACTTTCTTTTTGTTACTTTACCCTCATTCCATAAATTAGATGCATTGTGGAAAGGTGACAACTAAATTCGACCAAAGGGAGTAGTTATTTAGTCAACTTGATATGGTTAGTTATTGAATTGTCTTGGGAGTCATAATTATTTATTTAGTCAATTATATAGTCGTGTAGTTATAGCTTCCATTGCTAATGGAGCTAAAAGAGTCATTTTGGCAATGTTTTAGTAAATAATGGACTAAATCAAAATGGCACAATAAACTTTCTTTGCTTCTTACTTTCTATGAGTTTTTGGGCAGTAAATGCATCAAGCATCACGAGTCTAATAGAAACAACCTCTCTGTTTTTTTACAAGGTTGCGTACATCTTGACCCCTGCTCAATTGGAGTTGGGATTATACCGGGTTTGTTGTTATAGAGTCTTAGTTGTTGTGTATTCACTTTCTACCAAGGTACACTTATAATAGGAATATTGTGCCACATCAACATAAAGCTAGTTAACCGCCTTTGACTTGATCATCACCTTTGCTCTTAGATGCTTTTGGCTTATGGCCATGAAAGGAGTAGCCACTATGCCTGATCGATCTTTTTCAAGGGCCTCAAGGTCCATTGGGCACATTGTAGTACAAGTCAGCCGGGCTTTGAAAGGAGAAACCGGCCTTAAGGTGGTCAGTCTATGCCCCTTTGATGATTTTTCTTCTGGGATCCAGGCTCAGAAGCCACGACGGTAGTTATATGGTAATAACAAGAACAAAATTCTTACCAAATAGTCTAAAACTACTTGCCTTAGACTTGAATCTTATGATTAGGAAGCTCTTGTATTTATAAGGTTGAGTACTATAATTAATTAATTATAATAGGAACTAAAATATTCAACAAGATGTAATAAGACAACTAAAAAGGAAACCCAATAATAAAGACAGTTATTCCAAGGAGTAAAAGAGGAAACCAGAAACTTGAAAGGGAATGGTTTGCAATGTTGTGTGGGATGATGTATTGTAGCAAAAATACCTATATCACGATCTTGTAAGTCTTTGCCCACAGCATCACACATGCAGCTCCCATTGTATAAGACACTAGGCGAAGAGGAGAACTATACACTACCTAAAAGTGAGTGGGAGAATTTATTGTAGCAAAATTTTGCCTATGGCAACCATTGTAACCCCCACAAAACAACGCAAACACATTTTCAAAGTCCTTTCCACAACCTTTGTTTGCACATCGGTTCATGGATGATAGGCTAATCTGAAATGAAGAGAGTTGCCACACATTTTGAGTAACTATCGCCAAAAATTTCTTGTAAAGATCGAATCCCTGTCAGTTATAGTTATTTCAGGAAGGTCTTGAAGCTTGAAGATTGTCAAAGAACATATGAGTGCCACTAACTGCCGTGGAAGGATGCAATAAGGGAATGGAGTGGGCATACTTTCAGTAAGTTTGACTAGTAGACACAATAGTGGTATTGACTAGGCAAGGGAACAAAGGAGCACCTATAGAATAGGGGTATTGACTATTGACTACTCCGTGCTTGACTGTCTTGAGGAAGGGCGAAAAAAATATTAAGATATGAAACCAAAAAGTTAAGGTGGTTACCTTTCAGATTAGAATACCATGGGTGAATGAAGATAATTTGATATATGGTTCTATTACTTATGATGTTTTTGTTTAGTAACGGGAAAAATACTTGGAGCACAATGACAAAACTATAGATAATCTCCTTTCTAGCTAAATCAAATGAATCGAGTTGTTACCTAACAACATATCAAAATAGCAAAGATGGTTCGAATTAAACTCGTGTTGCATGAGAGAAGATATTCAAGGCAATATCAAGGAAAATCTGCAGAATATCAATGCTCTTAGACATGAGAAGAACTAGTTGAACATGAAATTGAATGCGCTGTACCAGATCTCTGCCCTGAGCGCTAGTTTCCAAGACAAAGAGGCTGAAATGAAGCGTATTGAAGGGGAAAAGTAGCATATCAAATTGCTTCTAAGTCTCCGAGACAAAGAAGCTGAAAATAAGCATATTGAATGGGAAACGAGGCATATTTTTTATCAAATCGTTGCCATTGATCCTAAAATTGAGAAGGATGCAAGATTCAAAAAATATTGATTATTATTATTATTATTCAGTTGTCTGATGATAGGGCCGCTGCAACAAGAGAGCTGAAAAAGATTACTAGATGTACAAGCCACCACTTGTCAGGAGACTTCCTCCGTTAACACCAAACTAGACACGCCGCCCGACCACCACTTGTCAGGAGACTTTCGACACAAGGCACCGCCGGCAGACCTTCGGGTCATGTTGTCACACCGAGAACTTCGCACAACGCAGTTCGCCACTCATACTAATGGGGTTGCGTAACCATACAAATACCATTACTCTAGCAGCACTCATTTGTTCCCAATGCCAATATTATCGTGTATAATCACAGAATCAGCAGAGAAAATTCTAAAACAGTTAGGAGATTGAGTAAGTTTGCTAACAGACACAAAAGAGACTCTGCTTGAGTGATTCCCTGCTTCCCTGGGGCTAATGAGTAGAGGTGGCAATCGGATCAACCGGATCGGTTTCGGGTTGGATTTTTTCGGTTCGGATATCTTTCGGTTATATGTTATAATCGGTTCGGTTCCGATCGGTTAAATTTCGGTTCGGATTTGATTTCGGTTCTATACATTTTTTGGTTCGGTTCGGTTTCGAGTCGGTTCAGATACGGTTTGGTTATAAATCGGTTCGGATAGATTTCGGTTCGGATACAATTTGAGTCGGATATATTTCGGTTTCGGGTCTAGTTTGGTTCGGATATATTTCGATTTCGGATCAAATATATTTTGGATATATATTATTTTCTAATTTTCCCCTTTTGACTTTTTAGTCATATTTTACAAATTTGGACTACAAATTATGAAAACATATATATTTAGTTATGATATAAATTTAATATAATTAAGTTGATTTTAAAATTTAGTTTTGAAATATAAAAATTTTCTCACATCTATTAATATACTTATGTATATAAATGAAAGGATAAAAGATAAATTCAAATAGTCTTATGTTCCATTTGAATAGAATTTGGTAAAAATTGAGGTAAATCACTATTTAAAAATTACGGAAATTTTATTTGTTTGTGCGTTATCATTTATATGTATAACTTATCTTTAATTTCTACATATAATAAATTTAAAGCATAAAAATTTGTACTTTTTTTCAAGAAGATAATCCATTTTATGAGGGAATGAGCAAGTAATGTAACTAGTTCAAATGGTAAAATAAAAGTAAAAATTTAAAAATATAATATGCTTATTGAAAGGTAAACATAGTTCTAAATTTATCGATTTTAGTTCTAATCGAGTTCGGATATTATCGGTTTTAGATCTAATCGGTTTCGGATCTAATCAGTTTCGGGTTTAATCGGTTCGGATATTATCGGTTTCGGATCTAATCGGTTTCGGATTTAAATCGGATATGAATTATTTAGTTCGGTTTCGGTTCGGATCGGATCATTTCGGGTTTTCGGTTATAGATCGGAGCTTCATTTTTCGGATCATTCCGGTTTCGGTTTCGGATATTTCGGTTCGGGTAATCGGTTCCGGTTCTGTTTTGCCAGGTCTACTAATGAGCCTATGTCAGAGCAGGTGCACACCCTACAGCTTTGCTTAGACACTCCTGGACCAAAGTACCCAATGTCTAAATTACAAGAACCATTAATATTATTAAAAAAAACATTAGATGCATACATGACCTCTAAACTGGTGAAAAACAAGTACTCCGGGTATTTATCTTCCCTACTCCCTTTTCTCTATCCTGAAGGTTTGTTCACAAGTTATACCTTATATTTCCATCGACACACATTTCAGCACCATTTGAATAACAATAATTTTTAAATGAACTTGATACCACAACCTATGTAGTTTCATAGTGGCTGGACACATGCTACCCCATTTCATTTATTCCTTGCAGGCTGGAACACAATTCTGGGATGAAAAACTTGAAAAAGAGCTTGCTGAAGGCCGGTTGAGTGGAACCGCCTTTGACAGGTTGGTGTTCTGGTATTTTCCATTTTGTTTTCTTCTTTGGTTTCATTTGGAGGTAGATGCTATAGTTGTCATCTTATGGAATAGGAAGCAGTTGGTCTCAAACGGAGAATTGTTATCTTTCGTCTTTTTCTTAAAACATAATTGCCAGGTACTGCATGGTTCTTTTCGCTGGGATTGCAGCTGAGGCCCTCGTCTATGGAGAAGCAGAGGGTGGAGAAAATGACGAAAATTTATTCAGAAACGTCTGCATGCTTCTTGATCCACCCCTATCTGTGGCCCAGGTGGTACATCTGATCATGATTATTTTAAATAATTTTCGATGAACTCGTCACATATTTCGAATCTTGAATATTTTTATTTTTATTTTTTTCAAAAGTAGATGTCAAATCAAGCTAGATGGTCAGTTATGCAATCTTATAATCTATTGAAATGGCATAAACATGCACATCGAGCTGCTTTTAAAGCTATGGAGGGTGGACATAGTTTGAGTGTGATCATTAAACGAATCGAGGAAGCCATGTCTTCCAGCAGCAGTTGAACTAAGGAATGCAAGAAAATACATGTCATGCTGGAAAAGGTAATATCTCACCCGGGCTTCTATTTTTCTCAGTAACATGTATATTGATGGGCACATAGATTTGATACGAAATCTCTAGACGAGAATATGCAGAGTTAGCCTCGAACGACAAGTAACAGAAAAACAAGAAAATCAGTTTTGTGCTGGTACAAGACTACAAGCTAAGGTACTCTTTACTCTAGACGAGGTTGAACTCATTGCTGGTAGTACCAGCTTGGCTAGAGCCTATATATAGCAGGAATAAATAAAGAAAACATAACAAAGATGTAAAAGTTGTTAAGTCATATGAACGATTGAAGATTAAGAACAACGTTTATGAAATGTTGCAAGAAAACAACTCCGTTTTTTCCGCAAAAAGGTTTCACATTTACTTGGGTGTCTCTCCCAAAATAAGGTTCCCTTAAAAGGAAAGAAATGTGTGGTTCACATATTGTTTCTCACTTCTACTTGCATTGGACTATTGATTTGCTGTACACCTTCCTATTGGGATCGCGTGTACTTCCACCCCAACTTCGCATTAGTATGATACGGAGTATTATTTTTTGCTTTGAGTCAAAGTCTCACCAAGTTATTATTGGACGCCTCCCGAAAAACTTTATACTAATTGCTTGAGTTGATCCGCACCCTTAAACATTTGTTCATTTCATTCCAACTGGTGTGAGATGGGTTTGATACCCAAATACCTCCGTCTCAAAATGATTTTCTTTTTCTTTTTTTTTTGTTTGTTCCAAAATACGGAGTAGTTTTTACTTTTCTTTCCAGAAAAAAATGTGGCGTAAAAGTTTATCTCCTTTCTCATCATTTTTTTAGCTAATCACTATTTTTTCAATTTTCTTAAGCACCTTGAAGCGTGAAATGCAGAAATGAATTTCAGAACAAAGGGAGTAGGTACAGGTGGATTTATTGTCCACAAGTAATAGAAGCAAATTCCAGGCAAAAACATCTATTTATATCGGAGATATTTTGATCCGGCCGTACTGTATCCGTCCAACAATTATTTCTTTTTCGTTTTGACGGAGATTAAAAGAAGTTAAAAAAACAAAGAGTGAAACTTTCCATTTCGTCATTGATGTGATGTAAAAAAGTAAATAATGTGTATGAAAAATAGGGGTGTAATGGTACATTCTTTAAAAGTTTTTTTACCTAAAAGTTTGGTAAGGCTACGGGTTTTAACATATGGTCCATCTTTATACTCCGTACTCGGCATTGGGCCCGTTTCAGTATTATAACATTTTCGATTAGAGTTAGTGTTATATGAAAATTTAACAGTGCAGATTGACTTTGAAAATACTAACGTCAAATGCTACACAGATAGTCTTTTCAAAATGTCAACAATAACCTCTAACGCTATTTCCAAACACGCCCATTGATTTTATTGGACATTTTGAACTTATAATGATTTTATTGTCCTTTAGCACATACTTGTCGTACCGAGTTACTAAGAATCCTTAAAGGATGAACTTCATCCACAAAGGCCCCTTAGGATCGGGCGAACTATCACATGAGAAAAGATAAATTGAGTTTTAATCATAAATTGGTGACAAAGAGTGAAATATTCACTTGTTACTATCAATTCTTGCTCTTATACTATTATGCCACGATACCTAGTGTTAACATTTTGAAGACTATATATATAACGACATTGTTAAACTGTAATGTTAATCTATACCATTAAAACTTTATCCAAAATGCTGATACTAACAAAAAAATACCGGTCTGAAACAAGGCCTAAATTGTTCAAATGTTGATTGAATTAGTCATTTAGATCCTTGAAAAATAAGGCAACAACGTACATAAATGAAACAAAACAATAAAAAAATCAAGAATAATGATTAAGCCCATGCATGAGAAATCACAGTAAAATAATCAATCAAAATACAGGCCGGCCGTATGGTATGTAATTAAGTAGCTAGAAGTAGTATGTATACTATGGGTATCATGTATAGTTCTGCATTTTTATTGCAGCTCTGGTTAAAAATCACATTAACTCAATTAATTTATGCTACTATATGTATATATATTGTTACTGTATTACCCAAAAGTAGAGGTCCTCCTTCCTTGCGCCGCCGCCGCCGCCTGCATATTCATGTTCATCACCATGCCGGGATGCGGTGGTCCCCGCCTCGGGGAGTGCCTCCCGAGGGTCGGGTCGAATTTGTTCTCCAGTTCTCCGAGGATAACCGTCCCGTGGTCTCTTCCGCCCGCCCCGGGCGGAGACACGTTGAGGGACGGCTTTCGCTCGTAGAACTCGGGGACAGAATCGTCAATCATGATCTCGTTGCACCCCCGCGTGTCGAGAGATAGCGGGGCGATTTGGATCATGTGGGGCCCGCCGCCGTTGTTGTCGTCGTCGTCGTGCGGCGGCGGTCCGATGCCGCACGGTGATGTCATCAGCAGCGGTTGCCCGAGCTCGTCCGCCGCCGACCAGCTCATCATCGGATTCTTTCCGTTTCCGCCGCCGCCGCCGTCGCCCGGCCTTTTCTTCCCCCGGGATGCGGGGCCCAGACACAAGTTATTGTCGTTGTTACCGTTGTTGCACAAGAACCCGTCGAGGGAAGAGGAACCGTCGATGGTCTGCTGGAGGCCGAGGTGGTCGCCGCCGTAGATGTTGAGATCTTGAAAGGTCGGAAACCCGAATTCGGACGGGTGGGGACCGGCATTGCCGGCGAGCTTGTACGGCCCGCCGGACGCCGATGTGGTGGACCCTACTACATGGTTGTTGGTGTCCCCACCGGAGAGAGTTTGGCATGCTTTCTCCAGGATTGTTTGCATGTACTTTCCTTGAGCTTCAATCCTCAACTGGAGATGCCTTTGTACCTGCATGAGTGCCTCACATGTTTAGTAGAGTCCAATTTTTAAGTATTGTGACAAAATTTTCTCTTGCAAATAATGATTTTTGGTAGATGAAAAGATTATTCAACTTAGAGTTAATAAAAACTATTTAATGTGTTACCATTCCTTCAAGATTATTAAAAAAATTCTTCTACGGATCTTAAGATCTTTTTTTTGAAGGTCTATAGATCTAAGATCTAATTATTGACTTTCATATAAATCAAATAAATATTTCAAATATCATTAAATCATTTTTAAAAGGCTAAACTCCATCATTAGTCCTTCAACTTTATCAATTGTGCACTATTGGTCCTTCAAGTTTTAAAAGTCCATAAATAGTCCTTCAACTTTATGAGTTATGCACGATTGGTTCTTCAAGTTTTAAAAGTGCATAAATAGTCCTTCAAGTACACATCAGCCCTCCAGATGAGGTCTTTTTGACAGTAAATATTAAAATCTAAATGGAATACTAGCTCCATATAATACGGAGTAGTCGTACCTAGTGGAATTTACTTGTATTATATGAAACTAGTATTTTGTTTAACTTTTAATATTTACTGTCAAAAGGACTTTATCTGGAGGGCTGACGTGTACCTGAAATACTACTTATGGACTTTTGAAACTTGAAGGACCAATGATGCAGAACTCATAAAGTTGAAGGACTATTTATGGACTTTTGAAACTTGAAGGACCAATCGTGCACAACTGATAAAGTTGAAGGACCAATGGTGGATTTTAGCCTTTTTAAAAAGTAAATAAATAAAAATTTGTTTGAGAATACTCAAGTAGATTTTGTGGACTTTAGTCTTTAGATGTAAAATCACATGTGCTGTAAAAATGTAAAATCACCATATCTTCTAAAAACATGTAATATTGTGTGTCCTTTAATTTTTTTAATTGATCCATACGATCGACTTTCTAGATACATGCATTAGAAATAAATAAATGCAAATATAAATATGTATACAATCATTTATTTTTTAATATATCGGGAAAATTGAACTTAAGGCATTCCATAAAATGCCATATTTCTTTATTTAAGCGTCCCATAATTACATTATTTCTTACTAATGTCATCCATTGAAGGTATATGTACAAGAATAGACGTAACACAGTTCGAAATAAAATAGATAATCTCAATCCAAAATTGTATGGTATTATAAGAATAGTGTATAAAAAATAATTAAAAAAACAATAGAGGTTGTGAAAAGCAGGGCCCGCATGAAAATATGAAATTGGTCTTGTGCAAAATTCACGTATTGAACCCTATTTTATTTTTTAGAGTACTTATGCTTTATAATTAGAGATAAATATTATTTTTAATAACCATTTTTATGTAAATTTAAATATTACAATATAAATTTATATTAAATTTGAAAATAATAAGTAATTAAATGTTGGGAAATATCCCTCCTACATGGAGGAAGTGTCCAATTTTAATTGGACAATACTTTACATATATCTTTTGTATTTGGGCTTCTTTTATGTGTAAAGCTTTAGCCCATTTGTTTTGGTGGCCCATATTGTGTGGCTATTAACAAAAAAAAAAAGGAAGGGATAAGGCAGCATGTGGCAGTAGCTACGCAAGAGAAAAAAAAAAAAAGAGGCAGTAGCAAAAACGCAGGAAAGAGGGAGAAAAACAGATTTCTCGCCACACAGTGCAGCAGCCACTTTTCACCTCCGGATCGAAGGCCAAACGAAGTCCGATCGTGCTCAAATTTTAGTATGTTGTTCCTCACATACTCCTCTTCAAATCCAACGGTCAGATTCTCATTTTGATGCCCGGAAGGTTGTTTTCTGGCTGCGTTTTCAGACCTGCGTTTTTTTGGGAGTTTTTACTCCATTTTATGTTGAATTGTTGATTGTTGTTGTTCCAAGGTTGCTCCTTGATGATTGTGTATGCCTCTAGTGTTTACTAGAGAGGAGAACTTGTTGTACCCACTTGGTTCTTGGTGATTAGTGGAAGTTTGGGTGCCGTTGTTGAGCGGCCGTGGTTTTCTCTCCGATTTGGGGTTTCCACGTAAATCGTGTGTTCTTTATTTTATTTCCGTTGCTATCTATTTGTGGTGGTGGTGCTGATTTTTGGAGTATATTGTGCTTTGTTGTTCATCTCATTTAATTTGGGAAAAAGATTTTATACGCTTCCGTTGTGTTTTGTTCCGTGCTTCCCCAAC